TTTAATCAGCTTTTGCGTAATTATTCTGGAACCCCAAAAAATAATCCTTGTAAAACAGTAGATTACAGCTTCGCGTTTTTCTTTCGAGAAAATCGTGATTTTAGATGAAAGATTGCTTAATTTTATAATTTTTTATAAAATTTGTTTCCCTAGAATATTCAATGAAAAATTATTCAAATCATTCTTCAAATATTAGCTTTTCACAAAGCTAAATATGATTCTTGTATGTAATATATAATTATAATTCTGTTTTTCAACATTTGTTACATGTATTCTGAAATAAAGACGCCAACTCTTTCTCTTAATATAATATAAATAATGTGTTTTAATAAAACTTTATTGTCCATTATTAACCAATCCATTATTAGTAGATGTCTTTAAGTTATTGATTCAAGTAGATATGGCAAGTCTTGATTTTGTATCTCATACAAATATATCAAGCACATATCATATAAATATGTTATAACACTTTCGCAGCATTTGCTGTAATCCATCTTCGGAGATCTAATTGCTGATATCGAAGAATCTCCATGGTTACTTCATGACTAACAAATAATTCCTTTAGCTATTTTATTCTACATGACGCAACGTTTATTATCAGTTTTAAACTTAAATTCGTCGAGATAGTATATAGACTAATTCAATTTACATACTGATTCTGAATATACAAACTTGAAGATTACATTTAGAAAAGAAATTTTAATAATTATGTTTATATGTTAAAGTGTTTATAATAAAATACAGGTTGTAGTTCATAATATAGATTGTTATTCTCTATAAATTTTTGCTAATCGTATTCGAATATTCAACGATACAATGCGGAAAAGGCAATGGTTGTTTCACGCCATGGATTTTCAATCCTTAATGTATCCCTGCTTCACCATTTGCCGCATTTGTGGAATATTTCCGTACAAGATAAACGCTTCGACTTTCGAATTTTCAAAACTATACTACATCGTGCTATCATCGTGTTTGCTGTGTTATTAATACTCATTTATCATACTGTGATCTCTATTTCAACACAAAATTTTGAAGAAATAATCACAGGAATTTCAAATATTAACTATTTAGTGTTAAACTATTTTATAATAATCATCACGCTAGTCTTAAGTGGTCTGCAAATGCGTTTGCTACAGTTAGTGTCAGAAATCTCTCAGAAACTTTCCTCGAAGTCATTCCAGAAAATGTCCAGATTAATTCACGCCAAAGATATTTTCAGTACAATCCTTTTTTTCCTGCAAGAAAGCATTTATAACATAAAAGTATTTAAACAGAACATCATTTTCACCATCTTAGTTTATGTCCGCATTGTATCTCTACATGCTGATATTTGAGATACTTATGTTGTATGTAAATTGTGTTTTAAAAGCCTGTTTCAAAAATATTTATGACAATTTGCCTCACATGCAGAGATTAGTGGTAAATGATACAAAATTGTGTGTTCCCGGATTGATTTATCACATACAAAGAAATCAAATCTTATTAAAACTTAAGTTTAAGCCCAAAAAAAGTGGCACTTGAGGGTTAGTGACACAGTACAAATGCTGAACACAATCTTCGGTTTGCAACTCCTTGCTATTACAGTTACATTCTTTAATATCACTTTTGATATTTACTCTGATGTAATGCGCTGGCAAGATGTGGAGTATTTATTAGTTTTGATATGCATTTTCTTCACATATTTTACTCACCAATAACATATTACATGTTATAAAAATGATGCTACTTGTATGGGCCTGTGAGACTGGCAAGAATCAAGCGCAAGAGATCAGCACTATTCACGATCTACTTAACAATATCAAAGATGAGCAGAACGAAGTAAAGAAAAGAAGATTGTTTTATCTATACATTATTTATTTTTTATACCGACACGATTAAATTTATTGAAGTATAATTGTAATTAATTATAATTTCAATTTAATTTCTTTATTCCTATATTTAATTATTTTGCGACCTAATGTTACAGTTGCAACTATTTTCTTTACAAATATTACATCATAAAAATACATTTTTGGCAAAAGGTTTCTATAGATACGACGCTTCTTACAACAGTAAGTGATCATTTATTTATTTTAATTATTAAAATATCTATTATTTATATTTACCGTTTAATGTTCAGATAATGGGGAAAATTACTACGTATTTAATAATCACAATACAATTTTTAAACATGTCGCATTCTTGCGACAGAAAAACAGCAGTCAATGTTACTCAATCTAATTACAGAGATATATAAAGCGAGGTAAAAGTGTTATTAAATATATATTTCGTTATTGTTAATAAAATATAATATGCAATGTCTTATATTTTTATAAAAATTTTTCGTCAATAATATATTATGTTCGTACATGTAATTGTTTAAAAAACAATAATCTTACACAGTACATGTGAGAATACAATCGATAAAAAATAGTAATTAAACGACTACAATAATCGAAGCTTGATCTTCGATGCTTAAATAATATGAAATATTATATACATGTATGTACATAGAGGAAAGGCTCATATAAAATACCAAGTTTATTTTGGGTAAATACTAGAAATCTATGGATAGAATAAAAAATAATAATAGGTCATTTTAAAGGGAATTTAATAAGCTTTAAGATATATTATTAGATAATAATATATTATGTAAAATTTAATTCAAATTTTATTTTTTTTTATAAATTAAAGAAATGTAAAAAGTGTTCAAATCGCAAAGTCAAAAAATTGTGCTCCTAATATGAAATGTCGAGAAATTGATGTAAATAATTGATATAATAAAACGCAAGTACATCAGTACTGCAATTAAAAAACTTTATTTAATGTTTCTAAACTACAAATAAACACAGCCAGTATATGTGCAAAATGAGTATGCGATGCATTGTAGCCGACTCGTCTTCAGATAGTTAGAACCATCGTTAGAAGCATCGCAGAAACAGGCATTCGATGTTTATCATGCTTCTTTTATTACGAGTCTTTCTTATTATTGTACAATAACATTTATACTTTAGCAATGATTTTCACTATGACATAGGTTATTTCAGAAATGCGCTGGGTATTTCATATTATTTTCACACCTTACCGGTTTTACGATCATCAAATCTAACTTCAGTAATTAAGCAATTTAACATATGACGTATTTTTCTATTAATACGATCTTACTATCGCTACATGAAGAATTTATTGCCAAATATTTACTTATTAAACAATAAACAAGGTTTAAAAGCTCACCTCAACGAAACTTAAAAACATCCAAATTCTAAAATCTTTTTTTGCAATAATTACCGGCACGATCTAATAAAAGAAGTTTTTCCTAAATAATTTTCAATTTAAAAAACAATAAATTCATGGTGGAACCAACAGATAGCGTTTATTAGTTTAATGAAAACGCCGCTATCTCATAATAGGGGGCTTTCCTCTATATATATATATATATATATA